AAAAATTCACATAATATGTAAAAGGAAGAAGCAAAAAACTAACCTCAAGAAAAGTAAATCAAACAATCTTCATCAACTACCTGTTCTTGAATCATCTTCATCTTTCTCCCATTCAACTTACATGCTCACTCACCTTTCTCTCTCCCTCTCTCAGCCCTTAGAAGAAGAAGATGATGATGATGATGATGATAAAGAAAAGATAAGTCTGAAGATGACACGGTTGGAATGAGGATGAAAAAGGCGCAATTGAATATGAACAATATGAACACGAGTCGATCAGAATTCATATTGTCACCAATATTGAATATTTTTTATCAATCGAGTTTTTTTTTCTCTTCATCTTCTCATTTTGCTTTTTAACAATCAACAAATTGACTTTTGATAAACAATTAGAGGGAAAAACGGATAATGATGATGATGATGAAGATAACGAGCTGTTTAATTTGATTAAGGCCTAAACACGTTACAGTTAAGTGAATAATAAACTTGTAACTATTACAAATATGAAATTAAATTTTCACCTTGAAATTGATATTAGTATATGATAATTGTCAGTTCTTCAAGACTAATGATGTGCAAAAAGTAAAGTAAAAACGATGAGGATGAGGAAAGAAAAAATGTTCTCTCAAGATTATAAACAATAATGATGATAATCTTAATGATGATGATGATGATGATAATGGTACGAGTTCTATTATATTATCAAATAATAACTTAGAAGGAAAGTTTCATGGATGAGAGATGGAAGAAGATAGAGTAGAGATGAACAGGGGATGAATTGGGTGTAATTTTGTGGAAATTGAAAAAAAAAGAGTTGATGATAATGATGATCAGTTGATGACGAAATTAAATTTCAAGTTTATTCTGAGAGTGTAACAGTTACATTACAATTCCGGTGTCGATGTGTTTGGATGAGCACGAGAAACAACATTAACCACCATCAACTGATCATCAGCACCTTTACACCTTCCATGTCGGGAGGAAGACAAAACGGATGAGGATGATAAATAAGATGAAAGAAATTAGGTTTCATCCATTGATTTTCATCTTAATTGTTACCTTTAAAATCCTTTGATTGTGAAACATGAAAGGAAAGTCAATTATCATTATTATGGTTCTGAGACCATTTTGATAGGGATGATGAGGATAACATTGATTACGAGATGATTAACAAAATAGACTGAAAATTAAGGTCAATTAACGTTGAGAATTTGACTAATTTGATGCTAATTAAACTCGATTAATCCTGTTACATAATCGGAATTGGTCGTTGTTATTTTTGATTAATCAATCAACTAACTGGTTAATTGTTTACTTCATCTCTTTTTAAACATTCATCTAATTGTTGAGGTTACCATTTAGATTTTGAATTATCTTTATTGGTAAACTAATTGTATTTGATTATGAAAATCGTGATTTGAAATTTTAATCATGTTAACAAGTAAATGATTGTTGAGAATTACAATTAAACTTAACAATGATTAACTATGTTCACATGATGGGTAACCAAATCAAATTTACTGTAATAATCATTTTTTTAAGATTGACAATCAATTGTGTTGACAATGAGTGACAATTAACAAGAGAAATGGTTAATTTGATTCATTGTTAATTCTGTAATTGTAACAATACACAAATAATTGGTTGAAAAAAGGCAATTGACCTTAAGGGGCTTTGACTGGTTGACCATTGGGAAAAAAGATTGATTTTATTTCCGATAATTTAACTAACTATTTAGTTAAATTGTTTGGGATGGAAAATTTTTCCACATCAATGTAAGGTAAACTAAATGGTTCCATAATTAAACTTTGAACTGAGAAAAGTTAACTAACTAGTTATTCAAGAATTGATTGTGATCAGTTAAAGTAATTGCAATTAAGGGTTAAAAATCTTTGGGACATTTGTATAGTTGATTTAATAGGAAGAATCTGTAAACTTGATTAACTTTAGACTAAACAAATTTAAGATCAGAATTGATTAGTTAATCTGATCATTTGTTGATTGGTTAAAGTTTTTTTTTGTTGTTCGTTAACAAGTTAATATTGTTGCTTCAATGATTCCAATAGTTAGTTAATCAATCAGAAATTAAGGTAACAAGAAACAATCAAGACAATTGGGAGAGAGAGATTTTTTTTTATAATCATTAAGAGAAATGATTAAGCTAAATGATTATCGTTGATTGGAAATTGAAAACAATCAGTGAAAGGTTGAAGATTAACAGAATGATCGTAATTGCGATTAGTAATCATCATTTCACCGGTAACGTTAATGTGAAGCAATTAAGTTTATCGTTAATTTGATTCCTTGAAATCCAGTTAACCATTTATATACAGTCAACAATTAACATTGTATTCAACTGATTAGAAAAATTAATTCATTTGTAATTTGGTAACAATCAAGTTAAAGATGATACATTTCGTGAGGAAAGTAAAGATTGTTGATCAATTATTAGAATCATTGATTTTTAACAATTACTGAAATTAATAACCCGATTAATTTAATTTCATTGTTATCGATAAGTTTTTTCACAAGCAATTAACTTGTTAGACAATTTTGATCATGTTAAAACAATTAAAATGTATCATTTTCATTTTTTGATTGACCTCAATATCCATTGTCATAATTATTAATAAATTGTTTGTTATTTTTACTGATTGTTGTTGTTGTTGTTTCAAAGTTAATTTGATTGAATATAAGTGCAAATAACTTTTTCAACAATTAAGTAAATTGCCCAAGCTCCAGGATCGGGTCCTTGATATGGTTGTATTGGTGTGTACGAAGCTCGGCCAATCTTAGCGACCATCGAGGCCGTAGATTCAGCTGATAATTTAACTTCGTCAATTATAGCGGTCAAAACACTCGCCGTGGGCTCAGTTGAGGCCAGGAAATTTTCTAGCGCTTTAATCAAAGCGGTCAACGGGTCAACCAAGGTTCGATCTCCTGGCTCTGCGTAACTGTACAGGGTCATTTTGCTACACGATCTTTTGATGATTGGTAACCAGCTTTGCATGGATAATCCTAGAACTGGATTAACCGACCTCATAGATTCAACAACATTCGAGGCTTCGTTGAAAAATAAACTGAAAAGTGCTCCACTCGTTCCGCCCATACAGCTCTCGATAATGTGGGCTAATTGAAGGAAAGAAGCTACAAATTTTCCCGATTCTATGGTTGATAAAATTTTTCGAGCTCCAACAGCTAAAGTTGATCCACAATCCGAATCACCTGATTCTGAATCAAGTCTATTAAGATCACTTTCGTTATCGATTAAAACTTTACAAGCCGCGGAAACACATTTGATGAATATTGTTTCGTCCTCAGTTAATCTATCGGCTACACTTTCGTAACAACTAAGTGAACTTTCATATCTTCATGATCTTCGATGATCAGTCTACTTGGGTCATTTAATTGTCGAGATAAAGAAGATCCTTGGGTTATGATAGCACTGTAACATGGTGCATCCAGATGAGCCAAGATTTCATCATTTACGACCATCATACTAATACAGATACCGACCATATCGAAAGATGTTACATATCGACCTGAATAAGTACGTTCAATGGTAAATCCTTGCGAAGTCAACTGAGAGACAGTCTCTCTGATAATAATATTCATTTCCATAGTTGTTAATCCACCATTGTCATTGAATAAAAGGACAATTCGAGTTGATCGATCAGGTAAAAAGTATTCACTTAGACCAGCATCTTCGCTGGTCAACCGTCCAATTAACAAAGCAACGGCTTCATTAGCTGGAATATATGATACACGATCAGAACCTCTTTCTCCGTGAATTCCTAGACCAACTTCGAGTTGCCCTGAAGGCATAACAAAAGACGGACCAACTCCAGGAACATTACAAGGACCAAGAGAAATCGAGATGGAAGCGATTCGATCTGAAATAGACTGTAGATATGTTTTGATGGACCTAAGATCTGATTTCGATTCAGCTAAGGCACCAGCGATTTTATGGATAAAAAATACACCCGCTAATCCTCTTGATCCTCCAGCCTTTCCGCCCGCCGATCTGAAAACACAATCATCACCAAACACGAAAATGTCCACTTTAAACCCAAGCGCAATAGCTTTTTCCTTTGCTAATCCAAAGTGAATTCTATCACCAGTGTAATTAGGAACGATTAACAAGGTTTCACTGTTTTGACCAATAGGATTGACGATTTTAATTGTTCTCAGAACCTCATCAGTAGTGGGCGAAGCAAATATATTACCGGAAACGGAAGCAGTTAACAAACCTCGACCAACGAAACCAGCATGTGATGGCTCATGTCCCGAACCACCACCAGAAATTAAGGCAACTTTACGTTTCGACAGAACTGATTCTCCGAAATCTTTTCTCAACACAATGTTGGACGTTTTGTGGATAATCAGGTGACTATTAACGGTGACAAGACCTTCAAGGTTATCACGAACAGCACTTGGAATATCATTTACGAAATACAATCGAGAAGACATGATTAACTCTAACGATCAGTTAATTCATCAGAAAAGAAAAATCCAGTTTAATCAACACAGAGAGAGAGAGATTGAAAGTACTTAAGATAAGAACTTGTATCAAGTAAAGAAAAGATGGCGCTAGAATAACAATGAAAGAGAAATTTCGTCGTTCGATCGTCCTACTTAATTTTGGGCGAAATTTTCTCAATCTTAATCTCAATTGAAACCTTTTCTCTCTCAGTCTTACTCGAAGCTTAGAAAGAAAAATCTTTCAAACTGGTTTATCGTCTTTCGCCTCTGTGTAAGGAAAAATAGTTAATATTCAGGACTGAAGATGATTACAATTAGTTTGATAATTAACCTTGAACTTGATTCTTTTTGTTGTCAAGTTACAATTGGTAAATACTCTTAACTTTCAGATAACTTTCACAATTAAACATGTTAACAATTACTATTACATAAGATATTGATTGTTTTTGATGAGAGGGGAATATTGAAAATGACTAGATTAATTGTCGAGGCAAATTTGATGTATTACAATTGAGCAATTAAAATTAAAACGTTTATCCTAAATAATGTTGTCATTTACAGATTTGTTTTGTTTTTTCACAATGATAATAATGATGATTAAATTACTTGTATAATCAGAATCACATTTGGATACCAGATGATCGGGTTAACCAAGATTGTTAATTGTTTTTGCCACAAATATTTACTCTTATTTAATCTAATTGCAGAACGATAACAGTTATATCATCTCTAAAATTACGGACAAGGTGAGATGGTAAAGTCAAGAAAGTAGATAATCTTTTATGTTGTGATTTAAAATCAGTTGGATTATCATCTTGGATCAGATTGGATAAAGGTGGAGGTGTTCCTAAGGCAACTCGGATTAAGTGTGTAGATCTGTTATCATCAATGAACTTATTGTAATCGATTGTTGAATCACCATGAACAGGAATCTTTGATTCAATTGAATTATCTGTAACCTTATTGGAAACTTGTTTACTGGGACAACTTTGATTAGAGTTCTTTGGCACTGGGATATTTTCACTTGATGAGACATTTGAATTTAATATAAATTGATGTCGGAATAATTGTTTAATCAAACAACGACTAGTTCCATACTGTTCCCAGAGACCATCGGTTGCAATTACAATGAATCTACTTCCAATGGTTGTTTCTGATTTTTGAGATAATGAGATCTTGGAGACTTCAGGTTGAGCTGTAAGGTAAGGAGGGGTCAGGTAATTTGGAGGTATAATATGAGGACCAAAAGCTTGAGTTAGGCCAACTTTTTTGATTTTTTCGATCTCCCATTTGTAACAGAAATCACCGAAAGCTCGGAAAGGCATAAGATGGGATAAAAGTCTATCATTTTTGATAATTGTTTTCTTTTCTTTAGCTGGATGGGCAGAAAGTAATCTCTTGGTTTCGGAGGCATTATCACTGTTATGCTCATTGGTTAAATCAACTGATTTAGTTACATGATTAGATGGACCATCTTCACGGAATCCCAAGACTGCTTTACAATCACCTGAATAATAATATAAATAAATTGGATTGTTAATCATTTGATAATAGTGTTGAAATTATAGATGAGAGAGAGAGAGATTTATATTTAAGATTAGATTAGATTTACCTGTAGACGCAATATAACAATCATCATCATGGATCATGATCAAAGAGACGCAACAACCACTAACGGCAAGCGAAAGATAATAATGGATGAGAACATTTGAAACAGGATTTGATAAACCATGTTCGATTTCATCTGAAATATCTTGATCACATTGTAAGAAAGCATCAGATATTTTCTCTTCAATTGTTTCATATGAAGTTTCAGTAAGTTTATGAGCAAATCTTTCCAGGTAAAATTTGGTTCTTTCTGATGAGACAGACTTGATTCGTTCACAGGCAATAGGTCCATACGATAAACTTAAACTTTGAGATATATTTGGAGCTATTTGTAAATCTTCAACAATTTTATCCAATTTTTTCATCAGAAACAATATTAACTGGATCCGTGCATAAAGATAAAGCGATATAACTAAATAAACGTTTTGTAACAACATCGGCACATAATCTACCACCATGGCCATCGAAAACGGCGAAAATCATGGCTTCTTTTGAAGAATTTGAATTTAAAGATGTATTGATATCGGTTAAATTTAATTTAGATACTCGAAGACGATCTTCAATCGGTTGATTAGAAGAAAGTTGATTACATTCGATTGTCTTTATTCGACCGTTTCCAGAAAATTTCACTTCATTCATAGTGAGAATACTTGTGACCTAAGAAAGAAAATATTATTTTATAAAAAAGAAATGATATTCGAATGTCGAAAATATCGAGTAAAGAGTCGAGGAGAAAAACACTAACCTGTTCTGGTGTCAGTTCGGGCGGTGGTTCATCGGATTCTCCACCGATTGCTGAGAAATAAGATTCTTGTTTAGAAGAAAAATCTCTTTTCTGATTGAATTTGGTGAATCCGAAATTGGGTAAGAATAAAAGGTTGATGTTCCCTCCACTCCATGTACGAAAATTTCTCGTATTAATGGACGGTGATGATGAGGTTGAAATCCTTCGAGGTTTAAATAATCTAAGTAGCATTGAGACTCTCATGATGATTGAATAAACAAGAACACCAGATTACAAGAATCACTAGTAAAAGGAAAAGGAGTAAGAAGAAAAAAATAGAAAAGGTTATAAAAAAATCAGCTGATCATTGTTTAAGTAAGTGAACAATGTAAAGCTAAATAAATCTAGTTGATTATTGTTGACAATTAACAGGATACTGGAAAAGAGTAAAACATTTGACTAGATTTGTTGTGATTACGAGAAACAAATTCAATAATAGAAATGGAAAACTAAATTGTAATTACAAATTTTAAATGTGATCAAGATGAAAAACTCAGGTTGCTAATCAACTTGTTCCTTTGATTCCTGGCGCAAGTTTGAAAAGGTTTCAGATAATCCAAAGAAACCATCACTTTCCACAGAGAAATAATAATCTGTCTATTTAGAACAATTAAATTTAGATGAAACAAGAAGAGTAATGACAATAAACAGAAGAAGAAGAAGATTAATTTAATTAGAAAAAAAGAAGAAGTAAAATAGAAAAGAGAGAAAAAGAAAATTGTACTTACAGCTGGAAAAGAATAGAATTTAATTCAAGCCTTGAATTCCAAGGTTACCTTGAGAATGGGTCATAAGGTTGTGATGGAAATTGAATTAATTTTTTTTCACAATCAATTCGTCGATAGTTTTTAAAGAGTAACAGTTAATTGTATTTAATTTAGTGAAATAAACACCATAATTAGAGAGGAAAGAGACAAAACAACCAAATTGGAATCACTTGATTCTGAATGTAGTCAATTGCTGGAAGCACCAGACATTTGATTCTCTCTATACATTATCTTGGTTCCAACTGAGCATAACCATTGAGAGAAAATTAATTTTCTTTATTTTTTTTTCTATTTGTGTTTAATTAATTGTTTCTTTTTTTTTGTTATTAATTAGATTGTTGGTGATCGTTTGAAAATGTATTTCTCTAAATTAACCAAGAGTTTGATTTCTTTTTCTAATGTAAATTGTTTCAATTTAATGTCAACAACAAAATGGATCAATGTTTTGTCCAATCAACCGGCATTTTCTAATTGTTTGGCTTCTTCAAATCAATTGAGAAAATTAAGTCTTTCTGTTAATCGATTTTCAGGTAATTATGGTTAATCTGTTTATTCTTTCATGTGAATATGGAATTTATGGAATATTGTTTCATTTTATTCCATTGAAATTGTAATTCCATTACTTTGGAATCATTTTCTTGTTGTTGTTTACCTTTTTTTGCTTTTGCTTTATTTTGGTTTATTTTTTGTTTCTTCTTGTTTTTCTTTTCAATTAGACCGAAGGTATCATGATAAACATGAATGGGTAACAATTAGTGACAATGTTGCGACTGTTGGTATATCTGATTATGCTCAAAAAGCTTTAGGTGATATTGTTTTTGCTGAATTACCTGAAATTGGTCGAGAGGTTGAAAAAGATGGTGAGTAATTGTTTCAGCTTATGAATTATCATTAGTCTCTCATTCTGATGTTCATTAAGTGATTCATTTGAAAATCAAATATTTTGTAAATTCGTTCATTGGATTAATTAGTAAATTGTTCTTTATCGTTAGATGAGGTTGGTTGTGTTGAGAGCACGAAATCAGCCAATGACATTTATTCACCACTTCGAGGTGAAGTTGTTGCCGTTAACGAGAAACTTGAATCGGAACCACGTAAGTTAAATGGCCGATTTTTGTTTTTTCTTCTCGTTTTATTAGCCTTTTGTTTTTATTAATAGATTTTTTTTCTTCTATTTCTATTGCTCTCAGATTTACTAAACACATCTCCATATGACCAAGGTTGGATTTATAAGATGAAAGTTCCAAATGAAGAAGAGTTTTCAAGATTAATGGATGAGAAACAATACGAAAATTTTATAAAGATACAACAAGCGGGTGGATCTGAGAATTGACGAGCCAACGATGAATTTTGGAAACATCTCCTTTTTTTGGAATTTATAATAGATGGAAATTTATTAGTGAATTTGATTGATTAAAAATCTTTCGAAAAATTCAATATCTTTGGACTGATTTCAGTATTTTTCCTTTCTTTAACTTTTTAGATCTGTTGATAATTATGCTGTTGATTCCAAAGTTGGATTCAGTAATGTGATCAATATGAAATCTTTGTCTAAAGTAAGAGAGAAAAAAAAGAGAAATCAATTAAGAGTTAGAACAGGAATAATGATTGAAATGTAAGCGAAATGATTAGATAAACTTTTATATCTGAATAAAATGATAGGAAAGTTGTTGAGAAAATCAATTCTATCTAAAATAAAACACTGATCAAACTCATGACAATAATATCAAGATGAGATAATCTTTGATTATCAAGAAACTCAAGATATTATTAATATTTACTAGATTCTTGAAGATATTTCTTTTATCAATTGATTAATGACAGGGAAAAGATTATCTGAAGAAGAGGAATAAAGTGATATCAATCTACTCACCGGGAACAACAATAAATTCAATTCTTTTAGTTCGTATCTTTAGAAAGGTAAGTTCATCATTCATATACTCTTTGTCTTTAAGAGCCATTCGAGCCTTTTCAACGATGTCACAAATTATGTTGGCATAACTTTCTGATGATTCCTTGTTCTCGGATAGAGTTGATTTAATTATGTTCCCTTCATCATCGGTAACAATAACTCCCATCACCGATTTGTGAGTACTTTCAATACGTTTAAGGGTTTCTTCAATTTCTGCCTTCAAACCATACAAATCAAAACAGAAAACAGAAAATAGAAAAACAAAATTTAGTGATCAAACAAATGACAATTTTCATTTCATTCTATTCATTTCTCAACATTACAACTTACATTCATTGTTTCCTCAATAACCGGAGAGATGGACTATAAAAATACAAGTAAAATTATAGTGAATCTAAAGTTGAATCAATTAGATGATTAAAAAGACAATTAAATGTTGATAGAAATTGAGATGAAATGAAAACAAAAATTAAATTCTGTTTCCATTGACAACTAACATTGTAAACAAAGACCAAAACGTTAACCGAATTGATCAGAAATTGGTGCTGCCATCTCTTGACCCTGAAACTCACTAAAGAGTAATGAAAATCATTGATCAAAATCAACTCGAAATGAATTGGTACTTAAACTGATTGGTTAAAAAAAGCAATTTGGACCGAAAAGTATGAAAGTAACAACAACGAAGTGTCTTACCAGAGATTAAGTGAAAATTAAGGTGCAATCGCAAATTCGGTCCGATTCCAAGTCCCAATTTGAAGTTGGCACTCAGGTGAATTGCTTTTAGGTAGAGCTGCAATCGCAAGAGATTCACTTGGATCGTTGCACCAGTGGATCGTTTGTTTAACCATAACAATCGTAATTTTTTATGTGTAATTTGAATTATTATCAAGTTTATTCTTCTCTCAATCATGAATTGTTTGCGAAGTAAAGTCTTTCTAAATAGTGGCCTTATGATCAAGCCAACTAGATTTTCAACCAGTGTCAATGAGAAACTCGAAGGCTGTTTAAGTGATGTCACCGTCCTCGACTTGACCAGAATTCTGGCCGGACCTTTTTGTACAATGTTACTTTCGGATTTAGGTGCTAAAGTAATTAAAGTTGAAAAACCAGGTAAAGGTGACGAGACCCGAGGTTGGGGTCCACCTTTTGTTAATGGAGATTCTACTTATTATTTGTCCATCAATCGCAATAAAAAGGTAATTGAAAAGCTAATTGATTAGAATCGTTTTTGTTTGTACTCATTTATCGTGAAGATATTACAAAGTGTCACCTTTGATGAAGAAATTGTTGATTTCTTTTCTCGACTTTGAGCCTTAAAGTAAATTCCCTTTGTGTGTTTGATATTATCAGAGTATCGCGATTGACTTTAAAAGATCAGAGGGTTTGAAGATATTGGAAAAGTTGGTCGCCTCAAGTGACATTTTCATCGAGAATTATATTCCTGGTAAATTGAATTCCATGGGACTTGGTTACGATGATTTGAATAAAATTAATCCGAAAATAATTTACTGTTCAATCAGTGGTTTTGGTCCTACAGGTAAATTTGTAATCTCTTTCCAATTAAATCCAAGAAAATGAGTTTCTAATTATTTTCATTGCAATGTTAAGGTCCATATGCTAAACGAGCTGGTTTCGATGTGATCGCCGCTTCAATGGGTGGACTTTTAGCCATAACGGGACCCGAAGGTGGTGAACCTTGTAAAGTTGGTGTCGCCATGTCCGATCTAAGCACTGGCCTTTATGCTCATGGTGCTATTCTTGCCGCTCTTCACCAAAGATCAATCACTGGTCTTGGAATGAAAATCGATTGTAATTTACTGTCAACCACAGTCTCAATTCTTGCCAATCTCGGAGTGGGCTACCTTAATTCGGGTATAATTCCCCCTCGAAGAGGAACTGCCCATGAAACTGTTGTACCTTACCAATCTTACGAATGTGCCGATGGTAAACATATCACTCTTTGCGCTGGTTCCGATAAAATGTTTCATTCCATTTGCCGTGTGATCTTTTCTCCCGCTGAAGCTGAAAAAATTATCAATGATCCAAAGTACACTGATAATGCAAATCGTAATGCTAATCGTTTGGAGCTTAACAAACTAATCACAAAAGGTTTAAGTGCTAAACCAATGCAAGAATGGTTGAAACACTTTGAAGGTTCGGGAATCTCTTATGGGCCAGTTAATGAACTAGACGATGTCTTCGAGGATCCTCAAGTGATCCACAATCAATCAGTAATTTCAGTGGACCACAACAAAGGAGGAAAGATCAAATTACTTGGTCCAGCGGTCAAATATCAACCATTAGCGTCCAATTTGTCAGCCTTTCGAAGCGAAATGAAATCGCCACCCGATGTTGGTGAGCACACGATTGAAGTGCTACAACAATTGGGCTACAACAATGAGACCATTGAACAATTAAAGGAGAAGAAAATTATCCAATGTTAATCTTAAACGTGATGAACATGAAAATTGAACGCAAAGTAATTTTAAATTGTAAATTTTATTTCAAATGTAAACTAGAAAACTAATATGACCAATCCAGAAAAAGTGATTCTGTTATTTTTTAATTTAATTCTAATGATATTTTTATTATCAATTGCGAATTATTTGATTGTTTTTGTTAAAATGTTTCATAATTGTTAATCATATTGATACATTGATATTTATATTGTTATATTAATTGTTTCCAATTGTTTCATGATTAGTGGTATTATTAACACTGAAATTTGGCTGAAACATGTTTAGCACAATTAAGCATGAATCATTTTCTCAAGGATTGGAAGGACTTGATCAAAGGTTGGTCTTTTTCCTGGTTCCTCATTCATACAGATTTTAGTCAATTTTCCCATGTGAGAAGAGATTCCTGGTGGAATTGAAATTCTTAAATCTTCCAGGGCAATTTTCATTCCACATTCCATAGGAGATAATTCAGAGAAAGGCACTTGTCGAGTGGCCAATTCCCATAAAAGAATAGCAAATGACCACATATCGGCGGCTTTTATATTGATCTCTGTAAGTTTTTTCTGTAAAACCTCTGGTGACATCCAAGCGGGATGATAATATTTATTTCGTTCTTGGAATGAAAATTTGGTGTCCGCCATGTTAATTCTGGCAGTTAGATCTTCATCAATCTGTAGTAAATGGAAAGAGAGAAATGTGATTAGATTTACAAATGAAACACATTCGAGCAGAAATTAATTCTTACGTAAACATGTTTAGAATTGAGGAAATATCGCATTATCGGTGGTTCCAGAGAATGTAGGAAGGCCATTCCTTTAGCGATATCGACGGCAAATTTTAAGGCACGATTTTGATCGACAACAAGATTTGTCGGTTGATGGAGGACTTGGTAAAGGCTTCCGTAGGGCATGAATTGATTGATAACAACCAAATTGGGCGGTGAATTGGTACAACCGATAACTGGTAATACATTTGGATGAGAAAATATTCTGAGTCTAGGAAATTCTTCAGAAAAATTTCTTGACGCTCGACGAATCACATCAACTGAAGGTTTAACACCAAGAGATAAAAATTTAGCCGAAATTTCATTATTCTGCCAAATTCCTCGCCAAGTTTCACCTGATTTGGTGATTGATAATTTATCCTGTAAATGAAGATCTTCCAATTTGATTCCCATATGACGAGAAAGTGTCGCATCTCGAGATCGACTTTTAGTACCAAGCCAACTTTGCTCTTTGTATGGAACTTTCTTTGAAACATCTTGTCCCATTTTCTCAGCAAGTTCAAGTAAACTTGAGGCCATTTGTCCTTTACTCTTATCTAACGGAGTTTCACCATACTTGTTGATAACGTTAACTCGAGCACCAGCGTTAATCAAATCTTCGGCAACTTGTTGATAGCCCCAGAAACAAGCATAATGTAAAGGTGTATTTCCATGTTCGTTGATTGAATTTATGTCAGCCTTATGACGAAGAAGATAATTAACTATCTCTCTGTGTCCATGAGCGGCAGCTAAATGAAGGCCAGTATCATCGCCCATATTGGTGGCATTGATTCGAGCTCCTCTGTTGATTAACATCTCAACGATGTGTCCACGTCCAGATTTACACGCCCAATGAAGTGGACTGAATCCATGATCATCACTATTATGAGAAAATCAAACAATGTAAACAAACAGAGTTATTCATATGGTAAACAAATAAACAGAAAGACATAACATAAAAGTCAAAAGAAAATGAAAGGTCAACAATTAACAATCAATCGATTCGACCCAATTTCAATCAACAAATTTTCACAATGGACAATTTAAATTAAATTCTTACCCTTGATTCAGATCATGAGTTGTATCATCGAGCCAAACCCTAACGAGAAAACCATTACCTTCACGACACCAATGAAAAATGTCTTCCATTGTTTACTTATTGAAGATGATAAATATGAGAGAGAGAGAGAGAGAGAGAAATTGTTTAGATCTGTTGAATCACAATTAGAACTGATTGTTGGTTAAAATTGTACAATGATAACGGTGAAAGGTTATTTAAGATGATTAAGAGAAAATGAATGAACTAAAAAATTAACAGGAAAGAAAAGTAATAAGAAGATGAGGGAAAAAATATCTTCTTTTACCATAAATAGTATCGGTTGAGGGATGAGGATGCTTAGTGTTTAGAAAGTTTCTTTTCACTGTAGAGTGGGTGGGGAACAAGTTGCGCGAGTTTAACCTGACAATCTTATTCATTTTGTGATCATTTGGTTAAAATATAAGTGAGTGAGTGTTTATCTTCACAACCTACGCGAATGTTTATATTTGATTAAACAAAAAGCTTAATTAGACCGATTGATTATCTAAATACACTTGTTGTTGTATGATTACGATGAGATTTCAACACTCGAGGGTCAAGGGAAATGATGTTCAACTTGATCAAAATTTTCAGGTTTACACGTTGATTGGATTCGTCTGGACATGTAATTTTCTGGTACATTATGTTATTAGATGTTTACGAAAATAGGAACCATAAGGTTGTGCTTTTCTTGTAGGTGTTGGAATTAGGGTCGGAAATTGTTTCATTAATCAACTTCGTCCTGTTCATTTAGGCGTATATTCAATTATTTTGAAGGTGTATATTTCCTAAATGCGGCCAGTAGATCTTCCGAATTAGATTTTGCTACATTCGATGAATTTTCCATGGATGTTAATGCTCTTGTTGAATATTCTTTATCGTCGTTTTCGTAAAGAGTTAAAATATCGCTTATTATTTGATTTGTTTTTTCCAAAGTTCCTTGTTCGTAAAGTGCTAATTTCCAGCCGACAAGAGATTCTTTTTCATATGGAATTTGAATTGAATGAGTTTCCAGGGCAATTTGAATGACTGCAATTGCGATTTGTTGACCGCTATAGTTGATACATTTTGGATCCATGTAGTAATCATTTAAAAGTGACCAACATGTTTGAGCCAATGAAATGGTTGTAGTATAATCTTTACCAATCCATTCGGTGAGCGATCGTAAATAATGAACAAGATATTGATGAGCAAGTTGATTGTTAACATCAAATTTAAGAACTCGAAGTAATAAAAGTTCCAATTGAACCAATGATTCTCGCAAGTTCCAATAGTAGTTGTCAAATTTCAATGGAATCATTTTATGAGCTCGATTTAGAGTTGAATGGAAAACATTAATTAGATCACGAAGGTGAATATGATCTTCTTCAACTTTTCCAGCCAAATAAATACAAGTTGCACCAATAAGAACGGGATCAAAAAGCTCAGGTGATGATACGGAAAAGAATCTGTGGAAATAAATTGCTGCAGAAGAGATTGTTTCTAATTTGGCTTCCAATTTGACACCACATTCATAAATTGTTCTCAATGCTTGATTAAGCTTTTTATCATAGAAAGACAACCCAATTTCATGGGCTAATTGATTACAATTGCTCATATTTTGCTATTTAAATCGCAATATTAGTCGTCCAGTTGAAAGACTGAAAAGAGAAAAAAAATCAAATTAGAAATTTAGAATTGAATAAATTAACAATCACTCATTCAGAGACATTTATTCGAATCATTTATGAGCACTTCTTAAGAACATGGTTAATCTTGGAAACAATTAATCATATCCAAGAAAGCTAAATGAAATTAAGATGAAGACAATCAACATAAGACAATCAAGATAACCCAATCAACTGCACTTACTTAAGGTTATAACATAGGTTAAGACTAGAACACAAAGAGATAAATGTTCAATAAATAGTCAATTAGCTCTTAATATTTTCAGAGAAATAACAATCAATCAGTTATCTTGATCAATCCCTGGAAACAATTAGATGAAAAAACTGATTAATTAAGTCACAGAAAATATGCAATTAGAGAATTAAAATTATTTTCTGTAGAGAAAAAAAAAGTCAACCAAATCAAAACAAAGTAGAAACAATAATGTCTCTCTCACTGGTCAAATAAAAGATGAGATGAAGGTTTGTATAAGCGAATGACAATTGTTCCAAAAAAAGAATATGCAATTAAAAGAAAATTTAAAAAGCACAAATTAATTAACAACAAATTGATGAAGAAGAAAAAAATTAAAGAATCAGAATTAATCTGGTAAATAGAAAATCAAATTTAGAAAAAAAATTCTAAGAAAAAACGAAATTGGCGCTTCGATCTGAAGAGAGAAAAAAAATTCTCTTCTCCTGAACAGATGATTTAAATTCTGTCAACAAGATAAACGCCTTTCAAATCTTTTTACTTTTTATTTATCCGAACAATTAATTAGTGAGGTGATTTTGTTTTATTCTTAATTATTAATATTCTCAATTAATCGAATGCTTATTTCGGTTGGTGTGTGATCATTGACTTAATTTATCCTTCAGTTTCTTACTGAGCATCAATATGGTCAATGCTAATCAAGTTGACTCGGATTACTCCTTTCTCCCGGTAAGTTAATTGTTTCCAACAATTTATTGGTCTGATTTTGTTTATTATTCATCAGATTATGATGATGTTAATCGGTTCCATATGTATTAGTGTTAAATTGACATTGTTTTTTGTTGGTTTATTGTTGGATAATATTTTCTTTATTAATATGATTTGGTTTTATTTTGATTTTTTTCATGTTCTCTTTTTTCTAGGAGTTTGCCTTGATGATGATTACAGCAAATTTTGTATTATATCTTCTTGTATTAATGTCTGACCCAGCTGGTGGTAGTGGTCAACCTAAACGTGAAAGAAATAGAGGAAATAATCGTAATGTTAATCAAGTTGCTGATGAAGGTATTTCAGGAGTTAGTCCTCAACGTTTGGTGAACAATGAAGCTCCAGTCGGTGATGGTTATGATGCTGATGGTTCGTCTTCACCTGGTTCCCTTGCTTCTGCTCAAAGATCTATTGAAGAAGAGGAATTAAAATATGGAGCTAAACATGTAATCAAATTATTTATTCCAGTCTCAATTTGTATGCTCATTGTTATCGCATCAATTGGATCTCTTCAATTCTACACCAAGACCAATCAATACTTATTATACACTCCGTTCACTGATCAAAAAGCCGATGTTCCAACAAAAGTTTGGCACTCATTTGCTAATGCATTCATTTTTTTGGTAGTAATTGTGGTGATGACTTTTGTTTTAATTCTTCTGTACACTTACAGATTCTACAAAGTCATTTATGGTTGGCTGGTACTTTCCTCTTCTCTACTACTCTTTCTCTTTATGTTTATCTACCTTTCCGTGGTTCTTCAAAATATAATCTCCTGCAGATTATATTTCCGTTTCCTCTTTATCTGGAACTTTGGTATACTGGGAATGATTTGTATCCACTGGAAAGGACCTCTTGTAGTCAACAAGCCTACCTACTTGTGGTCTCCGCTCTCATGGCTTTGGTTCTAATCAAATACATTCCCGAATGGACAGTATGGGTTATACTTGCAGTAATTTCTGTTTGGGATCTCGTCGCTGTTTTATGTCCAAAAGGACCTTTAAGAATCTTGGTGAAACTGCTCAAAGTCGAAATGAATCTATTTTCCTTCTCTAATTTATTCTTCAGCAGTTGCCTATTTACCTGGAATGGCAGATAACAGTGAAGAGAAAATTGCCTCGAGATGATATCGATTCTAATAAAAACCAATCAACAGCATCAACATCTCATCAATCAGAACCATCACAACCTCAACAAGTAGAATCTACAGTTCCACCGATCACATTTCGCGGACAAAACAATCAACCCTCCGAATATAATGTAGATCCCGATGAATATGATGACGAACGTGGAGTAAAATTAGGTTTAGGTGATTTTATTTTCTACAGTGTTTTGGTTGGAAAAGCTTCATCATATGGAGATTGGAATACAACATTAGCTTGTTTCGTTTCTATTTTGATTGGACTTTGTTTAACTTTACTGTTACTCGCTTTCTTTAAGAAAGCTTTACCTGCTCTTCCAATTTCAATATTTTTCGGTTTAACATTCTATTTTACAACATCACTATTAGTGGCACCATTTTGTGATCGATTAGCCGAACAGCAAATTTATATTTAACAAATATTGAAGATGGAAAAAGAAACCACAAAATGATTTAATATACAATCGACACAAACTCTCTTGACTTCGTCCTCTATTTTAAACCTCCTCTTGGTATATCCCAATCATCATCAAATCACAACCAAAATCATCTTCGATGTTGTTTGACTCCCCATGCATCGTAATCTGCTTTTTTGATTTTCTCTTCTTTGTCACTCACTGTTTTGATAAATTGATAATAAACATCAAGTACAGTTGTGAAATTTTCATGAAAATAGTATCGAAAAGATTGACTTTTATGTAAACCCATAAATGTCAAGAAAGATGAGAATGATGAAATAGCCAAATATTTGAAGATATAATTAATATTCCCTCTCGGATTTGTCCAAAGTAGACTTTTCTGTTTACGATGCAACATATTAACCAAAAAGCAACACCAATTACCTGAGAGACCAAAAAAAGAAACAAAAACAATTAGATTGACTCATATTCAACCAAATAATATCAATTAATGTTTCTCATTAAGCTTCAAACTCACTTACATGTGTGTTTATCAGCAATTCATAAAAACAGAAAACTCTGAATACAAAACAATATACTCACTATGAATTAAACTGCAATTAACGTTAAAACAATCAAATGAAAAAAATGGACGAACAATTAACCAAACTAAATTAATTATGGAAAAAAAAATAAACCAAAATGTGAAAAATTAGTTACTCATGTTGAAGAAGAAAATATCCACAAGATGGCGGAACAGTTGGTTTAGAAAAAGAATCAACCGAATGGGTGGGGCTTAGGAAAAGTTCTTATTCTCCCCTGTAGGTTTTTCTTTGTTTGTTCTCATTACTCAATTTCGCCAAATGGTTTCTTCATGTGATTTTATCTTAATTAGAATACAAATTGTTCATCGAAATTTAATTTGGTGATGTTTCTTTCATTTTTTTAACCATTTTTATGTTAATTTGTTTACACCTTGTTGATTATTTTCTTCTCTCTTCATCTTCTTTTCATTGTCTGTTTCATTTTCTCCTCTTACTTTTTGCTCTCTTTTCTGTCTCCCCTTTTTCTGTTTTCCACCAGTTAAATATATCCACTTGAAGATATTATTGTGAAGTGATCAAGCCTTCTTGTAATAGAATAGATTTGTTACTATAGCTGTTTTTTTTTTGTATTATTATTATTACTCTATACTGTGAGAAGAGAGAAACAAAAAGTACATTTATATATTTATAAACCAAAATGACTGCTCAAGGTGCCAATGGTGATATTGTCGATTTGGAATCTTCACTTCTTCAACAATTCTCGTGTATGGGTACACAAGATAAAGATGTTCTTATTAATGAATTCCAAAAATTACTCTCACCTAACCAACTGTCACCAGAAGGATGTGCTTTCTTCCTGGACATGAATAATTGGTACTTTTTTCATTTTTTTTCTCTCTCTCTCTTCTAACTGCTCTTACCTTTTTCCTTGTTTCCTTTTCTCTTTCTTTCTCTTTGTTCTGCTTGCAATTTCTCATAAAAATGTCACAGTAAACAAAAAAGTCATTGACTTACTATGACGGAGTAATAATAATTTGGCAAGAAAAGTCAATTCTTGATGTTTATCTGCCTTTTCCATGGTAGATTCTCTTTCAATGATTTTTGCTTCGCATTTTCTTTTAAATCTCATCTTATTGCTAATCCTCTTTTTTTGTCTCTTGTTCCTCTTTTTCTCTTAATTTTTCTTAGGAATCTTCAACAGGCCATCTGTTCATACTTCGACCTAGATGCACCCAAAGAACTTGGAATGGAATCATTACCAGTCATGAGTTTTATCAAAGATGTAACCATAGGAGAAGGTGAAGAGGTTCCACCAAATACCCGATTTGTTAAAACTTGGAGAATTTTAAATTCAGGTAGGTTTCATACTTTTTTTCTTCTTTATTTTTGTTCCTATAAAACTGAAAAACAAGCTGTTCTCTTCCCATTCTTACTCAATGATTCTATTTTCTCTTATTTTGTTTTGTTTCATCTTCTCTTTTTTCAGGGACGGAAAGGTGGCCTCAAGGATGTTCTTTACGATTTATAAATGGCCATTTAATGGGAAATTGTGAACGAGTTGTTGTAGATCCTTTAGAGCCTGGACAGATGGCCGATGTGTCTTTAGAAATGATAAGTCCAGCCATGTCTGGCATATTTCAAGGCCAATGGAGGATGAGTACAGCCATTGGTCAATTTTTTGGAGGTCAGTTGTTGAATTTATGTATACAATTATATTTACTATCCTATTAACTTATTGATATTTCAATTTTCCCTAAGATATTGATTGAGTTAATCTTACTCTATCTTTTTGTTTCACCTAATTTTAAATTATGTCATCTAATTGATGTTTTATTTTCTTCACCTGATTTTAACTTATTTTTTTTATGGATTTGGACTCATTTTAATGTTTAGAAATAATTTGGGTGATAATCACAGTCGCTGAAGGAGGACTTTTAAGCTTAACTCAACAAATGGACTCATTCCACCAATTAGGGTCGCCTGTTGAAAGTTATCCTACCAAAATGGATACTAGTGTTAATCCTTTCGAAAAATATTAATACCGATTAATAATAAATGTATACATTTTGTTTTTTTTTTTCGACTGATTGATTGTTGTAAAAAGTTACGAAGAAAATGTCAGGATTAATCCTACTTATACTTGTACATAAAATACGATATATTATACACATACCAGACAAAACAAATATTAAGCTTACAACAACAAAATGGAACATCTTTGGTAATCACTACAAGCAAATGTAATGGAGAAAATTTAATCAATTCAAATTAAATTGATCAAAATTTACAATTTCCAGTTTCTCACCAAAGATGAGGGAAAAATAGAAACAACAAGTAATCAAAAAGTTTTGATATTCTATGAAGTCAGTTGAATCAATTAGAAATAGAAAACAGAATCGAAAGAGAGAAACTTGACTCGAGCCTGTCGGTCCAAATTGCTTTTTTTTAATCAATCAGTTTAATCACCAATTCATTTCCAGATGATTTCGATCAATTTATTCAATTTATTCCTTAGTGAGTTTCAGGGTCAAGAGATGGCAGCACAAATTTCTGATCAATTCGGTTAACGTTTTTGTCTCTGTTTACAATGTTAGTTGTCAATGGAAACAGAAATTTAATTTTTGTTTTCATTTCATCTCTCAATTTCTATCAACATTTAATTGTCTTTTTAATCATCTAATTGATTCAACTTTAGATTCACAATAATTTTACTTGTATTTTTATAGTCCATCTCTCCGGTTATTGAGGAAACAATGAATGTAAGTTGTAATGTTGAGAAATGAATAGAATGAAATGAAAATTGTCATTTGTGTGATTACTAATTTTTGTTTTTCTATTTTCTATTTTCTGTTTTCTGTTTTGATTTGTATGGTTTGAAGGCAGAAATTGAAGAAACCCTTAAACGTATTGAAAGTACTCACAAATCGGTGATGGGAGTTATTGTTACCGATGATGAAGGGAACATAATTAAATCAACTCTATCCGAGAACAAGGAATCATCAGAAAGTTATGCCAACATAATTTGTGACATCGTTGAAAAGGCTCGAATGGCTCTTAAAGACAAAGAGTATATGAATGATGAACTTACCTTTCTAAAGATACGAACTAAAAGAATTGAATTTATTGTTGTTCCTGGTGAGTAGATTGTCAATTGATTTTTCTTTTTTATCTTCAATTTCATTCTTTATTCTCAAGGTAATTTAATAAATTACTTTCATCTAAATTCTATTAATCAGTTCTATACTTTGATCGTGACCAATTTGTAATTGTCATTGATGAAATGATCACCGATCATTTTTGTCAACTATTGTCTTCTGACTTTCCCTCAATGACAAATGGAAAATCAATCACAATTTGAAAAGCAAATGGTTCAACAATCTATCTTACACATTTGATGTCATTTGTAATTATTTGTTTTTCATTTCTTTTCCTTTCCAGACAAAGATTACATATTGATCACATTACTGAATCCAACTCTCGAATCAACTGCATAATCATCTTTAAATCTAATCCAGTGATCAAAGGAAACAAACACTTGACTAAAATTAAAGATCTTCAAATCGAGCTAAATTTCCACCAGTTTGATCACCACGAGAAGGCTAATCAACTATGGAAAAAAGTTAATACAAATTTACTAATTCGCATCAATCGAGAGCTTACAATTTACTCAACACTCTTGATACATGAGCCAAAAGCAAAGGAAAAACTAACAGAATATAAAGTCGATCCACAATATAAACTAACAATTAAATTCTGTTTTTTTTCTTTTAATCATTGCAATCAGAAACTCTGAGAGAATCAATAATCATGATTTCCACCAAGAAATACTGAAAATCAATTAATCAAAACTTTTTACCAAACCAATTACACTATATAATAACTCACAACAATCCAATCAAATTGTACTATTAAAATCAAAAGAAGAAACTAAATTGATTGTCACAAATTAATGATTCCAAATCATAATTGCATTTCTAATAACTTCATCTTCATATTATCAGATTCTGCAAAAATTTCCAAAACGATTCCTTTCAAACTAAATCAACTAAATTGGTCTCCAATTAGACGATAAACTTAAATTCGTTGCAATAATCTAGGCCTGAATTCTGATTCTCATTTCGTTAGTTCAATTGTTGGAATAGTTTTAGCAATTAAAACTTGTGATAGAAAAAAACTAAACTAAATGAATCTCGAAAATTGACCATTTGCTGGACACAATTAATTGACCACAACAAGTAACTAAATTTCAATTCGATGTTGATTTAGATTGTTGAATCTCGCCTCTCATTTTCTCATCATTATCATTTCTCTCTCATTCTATTCCAGGTCAACTGAATAGCCCAACGATCTTCAATATCCTCAAGGATGAAGGATGATGAAGCTTTATTGGACTAAACTCTCCATTGGTAAACCATTTAAACCCGGATTCTGATGAGAAGATGATGATGAAGAAGAAAAGAGGCCCGCAACAAAGTCGATCTTCTCTTTATCCTCCTCTTGCCGCCCTCTCTCTCCCCATGTTATTCTTTACTCTCTCACTTATTCTCACTCTTCATCTTCTTCTTTCCAACCACATCCTCATATCATCATCTCTCTAACATCTGATCCCAGATAAACTTTAAATTTTCTTTTATTCTAAAAAAAAATAACATTCAATTTCCATTCAATGTTTTTCCATCATTTTTATTATCAAAAGTTCATTGAACACCAATTTCCAAGACTTGCAATTAGTTAATTCAATTGAAATTCTCTCTCTTCTCATGAGAATGAACAAAAAATTACTCCGATGCCGGGAATCGAACCCGGGCCTTCTGGGTGAAAGCCAGATATCCTAGCCACTAGACCACATCGGACTAGATGTAAATAAGTTTAATAATTTACATTAAATATCATCTAATTGTGATTGTGCTTCGTTAAAGGAAATTTATTATCGATATTGCAAAAATTGATCCATTTTGAGCTCTATTGCATTTTGAAAATTGAGATGCACATTTGTCTAAAAAAACAGGATAACTGGTGAGTTTTGCAATTCGCATTCGTTGTGATTGTGATAAGTGCAAAGTAAATTATTGATTAAATGAGGATAAGTAGAAAGAGAGAGATGATGATGATGATGAAGATGAAGAAGGAGCGATAAAGGCTTATGTTTTTTTTCAGCTTTTCGGTGGTTTACCTTGTTTATGCAAAAATGTTGATAAATTGCAGGGTAAAGAGGCTGAAACGATGATGATGAAGGATTGAGTTGCTATAAGGAATGTTTCTCACTGCGTGTTGCAATTATAGTTGAGAGAGAGAGAGAGAGAGAGAAAGTTAAGTTGGCCCCGGAATTGAACAAGTAACAAGCTCACTCTGAGAGTGTGAGAGAGCCCGAAGAAAGAGAAGATGAAGATGAAGACCACCCTGGTGATAGATTATCCCTGCTGCAAGAATTTTACCTTCCCCTTCTCATCATCTTCTTCTTCTTCTTTTCCATCTTTCGCCAGTTTCTTCTTCTTCTTCTTCTCCTTCTTCTTTACTGTAACAATGGTTAAGGTGATCGAAAGATGAGAGAAGAAGAAAAAGAAAGAAGAAGATGAAAACTGCGAAAGGCTGAGAAAACCTTGATGTCTTAAAAGAAAGAGAAGAAAATTAGAAGATGATAAAAGGAATGTTATCCATCAGCTAAACCTGGATAACAAGGAATAACCAGGAACCTGTTGTCCAACATGATTCTCATTCTTTCTCTTCTCTCTCTCTCTCTTTTCGTCTCTCGATAACGTAAATAATCAAATTCTATAAACTTGACATGAAGAAAATTCTGCAATTCGAACAGAAATTAAGTGTACAAAAGTTTTTCTGCAGAAAACGAAGAAGAAAAAAAAGAATCGGTGAAAATGGAGAAATTATTTCGTTGTAACAAATACTAAAAAGAGAATATTAGTTAACGATGAATAGAATGATGATAATCTTCAGACAGGTAGAAAAAGAAAAGTGAGACTGGATTCCAGCGAATGAGAGAGAGAAGAACGAAGAGACTAAAGGAAGATTGAGATGTGAGAAAAAAAGAGACAGGGAAGAGAAGAGAAAAAGGGAGAATAGAAATAGAAAGAGAGAGAGAAGATAAAGTCTTTCAGTTAATTTCGATTAAAGAGAAAGAGAGAAAGAAAGAGAAGAGAAGGAGAGAGAAAAGAGAGAGAGAGAGGCCTGGTCTTCATCTTCTCATCTTCATCTTGTTGATTCATTTTCTCACATTCTCATAACGTCCTAAACAGCGAAAAGTAGTAGGTCAAAAGAAAAGAACATTTTTTTTCTTTTCTTTTTTATTCCAATTCAATTTCGACCATTTTATTAAATTTCCCTCACTTTTGCTTCTCCATAATTGTTCACATTAATGCAACACTTTCTTTTCGCAGCAATTACAGTTTCGTTTTCTTCTCTCCATCACAATCAACCATCTCTTCGCATTAATTGACGTTTAAATGTTTTCTCTTCCAACCAAATCATCTTCATCTTCACTTTTCTTCATCTTCTGCTCTTCCTTTGAGTCTCTTTAATTCATTTCAATTCAATTCTATTCTCCTGCTTTTCCGAGAACTGCAACAAGTGTCTCTCTCTCTCTTTTTCTCTCTTTTCGCTTCTCTCAATTTAATGTTGTGCCTTTTCCGCCATTGTTGTTGTTGTTGTTTCCATCGTCCTCACAATCCAATTGATCTTAATACAAATGATCCAGTCAAAAGAAGCATCTTCATCCCAAGCAACTAAAGTACCAATTGATTTTGACGACGAACCTTCTGGGCCTTACATCCCTATATCTGAATGTTATACTGGGAAACCAGTTTCTTTCAAAGGTTATCCTAACAGTAACCATCACCTTCCCCCTCCTCCTCTGCCATCTTGTTCATCTTCCAGTGTTCACCATCCAATTCATCAGTCTCATGGACTGGGGTACAAGCAACTGACCCCCAGCCCTGGGGTCCATCATAACCATAACCTGAATCACAATCATCATCAGGTGACCAACTATGATGTTCCTCGTTCAAGTGTCTTCACCAAAGTAGCGCTTCCGATCAACTCTCCATCCACTGGTCTCTCTCTCTCATCGTCCCACACACTCAATGCTCGTAAAAGCAAACCTCACAATCTGACTGTTGGTCCATTGAGTCATACACTCAATCGGCATGAGCGTCTCTCCGATTCCAACAATTCAACTCTTTCCCTTCGTAGTCGAGTCAGTAAGCCCAATGGTGAATTTGGCCATTCAAGCTACAGGAATGAACCACCGCCAAGGCCACCCAAGCCTAAGAAGTTGAACAATCGAAGCAAATCCGAAAGTTGCTCTCCTGCTTATGGAACAAACCATTTTAATAGCAACGATCATTTATCACCTTCAACTCCATTCAATAGTCATTTAGATTCACCATCGTCACCATCAGGCCAATTTAATCCCACCATTAATTCAAGTTCAAACAACAACATTAACATCAACATCAACAACATTATCAACAATAACAATCAACATAATAATCAACATAACAACAACAATAACAACAACATAGTAAACACCCCAACCTCTCAACCATTAACTCTTGATGATGTTTATGATTTCCCAAAATCAGAACCAGTATTTAATAGCATGAGAACTGCAATTCCTGCCCTGGTAACTGAACTACCAAAGGAACAGTCATTCTTACACTAATGCGCCTCCAGGTCATTTAAGTAAACCTCCAGTTTTCACTTACGATTACAAGGGAACTTTACCTGTTTATCTAGACGATAATACGATTGCTTTTGATTTGGATAATTGTGATCGATCTCCATCTACACCAAACTCTGCATTTGATTCGCTTTCTTCAAGCGGCTCTCTGTCCAAAAGTCTCACACCTCCGGCAGTTAATCGAGATTTAAAGCCAAAACGACGAGACTCTGATTCTGATACAAATGTTTCTCCGACAAGTCCAACATTTACTCTCGCACCTCCACCAGCTCACTCGAAATCTTATATTAAACCAACAAGGTAATTACTCTTTTTAAACTATTGATTCACATTTGTTTGATTAAAGGGATAAATTAATTTATTCTAATCTTTAAATGTTTACCATAAAGACACTTGGCTGATGGGCCACCTCGAGTTCCTTCAAGAGGAAGACAATTTCAACATCATGTTACTCGAGATGAATCAAATTCAGATGAAGATATAATCAGTCACTCTTCCATTTTCCATAAACGAAATTCATCTTTAGACGATCAGGTTTGTCCTTGAATCATTTTATTTCTCTTGCAATATTTAACTAAACATGATAATTATCTTCACAATTTGTCCTTCAACTCGATTCTCATTTCTATTTTTCCATCTTCTTCTTCTTCTTCTTCTTCTTTTCTCTATTTTAGTCTCGTCGCGCTTATACTATTCCTAGAAAATCACCAATCGACTCTCCAAATGTAACTTACCTGGATCTTGATCTAATGGGAAACAGTAAAGGCAAAGATTCACCTCGTTCACGTTCATCTAATTCATCTGATCCATTCAAGTCATCGTTGAATCATTCAAAGGATCTCATTGGAACATCCAGTTTAAGTGGTTCTCAGTCAACAGTATATAAAAGTATCGATTTTGTTGCAACTGATGCTTTCCGTCAACTTAGAATAAGTTCACAACGATTAGTGAGAGAGATTGAGTTTGCTAGTGTTAAACAAAAGTTATCAAATTTTAATTATCCATGTTAAAGACTTTTATTATTTCAACTCTAAACTGTATCAAATCTTCATCATCATCCTCTTAACACGTCCAAATTTCTATCCTGACTATTGTGCATTTCATGGTGCAAAATGATTCGATTCATCCTCTTATTTTATCTTCATCTTGGCTCAAATACACAACAATCAGAGAGAGAGAGAGAAATTCAAAGATAATATCAAATTTTACATGTTATCTTCTTTCGCCAATCAATATCAATTTACTATTACAATTGATGTTAATCTCTTAATTTTTCGTAAGTTTAATCTTATTGAACTAAGTTGATTTGGAAGATATTGGTTAATCATATCATTCTAAATGAAGGGTGAGAATTGAACATCAATGGAAGATTATAAACAGACTGGATTACTCTGGGAAATGTCAATCGATCACAAAGTCAACATGAAAACTTAATTTCTCTCTGTGATTGTGCATCCAATTCATCAAATCAACTTGTGATTAATATGCACTCTCATCTTTACTTGAAATGTGACTAATGCAACTCTCAAGAGTCTCCATTGTCACCATCATCATCATCATCATCATCCTTGTGAAAGTAATAACTACAAACACTAAATGAAATTGAATATCCATTTCTAGAGTCGATGCCAATACCAGAAATTGATGATTATTTTGCTAAACATCTGAATTCTGAACGAGCAAGAAAAGGTTCAAGTGCCTTAATCAAATTCTGTCATTGACTCAAACACCCAAAGCAAAAAACTTTGAAGCAACGAAAAGCCAATGACTTAAAAGCTTAGCTATTTCATTTTCTTCCAATCTTGATATTCATCTGTTTCATTTTGATTATCATTCTAATTGCAAATGAAAATTGCAATCACCAGCGGAACTCTGATACTCTGATCCAATTTCCTGTTCGCACAAAATTAACCTTTTATACCTGAATTATGATTGTTTACAATAATATCCTCTCTCTTTCTTTCTCTCTCTCTATCTCTCTGATTCGAGCCCCTGTTAAAACAATCATTAACTTGTATGAATCTTTAAAAAAAGCAAACGATAAATTACCAAAAAGTGTCATACAAAAGTCCAATCACCCAAACCTGCGATAAATCAATCAAATTGATACACAACAACAACAACAACATTTACCGTCCCAGATAATTTGACAATGATGACAATAAATGTCTCATTTCTTAAGCCAATAAAGTACATGAACTTTTTAGCTTCTGTTGATTTTCCTGTTAACATCACTTCTCAACGAGATAATGATATTGTTGGTTTATAACAAAGGCGAAGGACAAACACAAAAGGAGAGACAATTATCGTTTCTAATCATGTTTAACCAGAAAGCCTTTTTCTTATGTACATGTAATTATTTACGAGGCATAAACAGTGCAAAGCGACCAATCATTTCATCATTGCTCATCTCTCCTTCTCCCTTGCTCTTTCCTCCCTCCCTCTTCCTCTATCATCTTTCGCTCTTTCGTTTCCACCTCTAGAGAAAGTGAGAGAGAGAGAGAGCATGAAAATAAGCAAAAAATTAAAGGGAAACCTCGATGAGCTGTAGGCTTAGCTGCAGGTCAAACACAAGAAGCTATTGATCAGGAATCTCTCTGTGCCAAATATTTACTTTCTCTTGCTCTCTTTTTGCTTCGAATTCATTTTCGTTTTCATCTCTCTCTCTCTCTCTCTCTCTCTCTCTCTCTTTATAAACGAAAATGAAATTCTGTTCCTTTCTTTCCTCATCATCTCTCTTTCTCTTTCCACCTTCAAGTTTTCATTTACAATCAGATGATATTTAACTGTTTCTACTGATTTATTCATCTCAACTTTCGTTTTCTTCTCTTTTTATTCTCCTTATTCTTTTCATCATCATCTCCCTTTTCTCATTATCATCATCCTCTGCACTCTCTCAACAACCATTTACACATTCTATTCGTATAAACAACTCTACATTTCTTGGAAAAGGATTAATCATCATTATATCAACACGAGGATATTATGAGATTCACAGATATTAACATCGCACTTTTTATAATTAGCTGTTGGTCAAAAAACTCAATTAATTCAATGTTACAGAAAATAGGAAAAACATAATTGCAAACTTATTATTCACAATACATTGCAATACATTGATTGCTATTGAATCTTTTGACAACAATTGATTATCATCTACAATTTCATCAACTATCAAGTTTATTAACAAGCATTTTTATATTCTACTATTATTACTCATCAAATCATCTCATTGGAATCATCATAATCATAATCATCGACGACAATGAAACAACAATTACTCACCTTGTTCATAGTTTTTCCCCGATAAACAGGAAATGAAATGAACATTGAAAAGGATGTGTAATCATCATCAGATTATCAGATTAACAGTTTTCCCGTTTTCGAATCAATATCTTTGCAAAGATATTCAATTCGTTACGAAAATAACAATCAATAAGATGTTTTTCTTTCTTTGTATATCATCACAATCATGACGATAATTAATATCAGATGGAAAAACAATCAAAAGATTCACAATCTCTTAATCAACTGTAAATGATGTTGATTGTTCAATTGATTGTCTGTTAAAGTAAAAACTGGAAAACCAACACTTCTTTATACATATTATATAATATTTATGTAAACAATTAATGCTTATATATCTTTGCCTTATATGTTAACTGTGCAATAATTGTGCTTTCATTTTGATGGATTAATCATGAAAAACAACAATCAACAAACAATTTAATCATTCATTTCACTTTATTTCATCTTCTTCTTCCTGTTCCAATAAATTGTGGATAACAACAATTGATAATAAAACAAAAATCAACGTTGAAAATACAATTACAATCTATCAATTTGTTAATATTTCACATTTAATCACAATCAACGATTAAATAGTTGAGAAAATAATTCAGCTTAATTGTTTCATATTAACCTAATTGTTTTGAGGTTCAACGAAAACATTGCACCGTAATTATAATCCAATGTATACACATAATATAATACTAATTAATACACTGGATTGAAGGTTGATTGTTGTATTTGGGTAAATTGTTTATCGCTAATTGAACAAGAAACGGGAAAATTTGACCTGTTGAACTGCGACCTCAAAGCCCCATCGGTCATAGTCTCAGTTTGGTCTCTTTTTTTCCCAGTATAATTTAATTGCAGATTAATTAGTGGGATATTAATGCCTTCAAGTGGGGAACAATTAGTAAACAATTTAATCTCTGGCGCAAAGATTATTTACCTTTGATTAGTTTAGTTGAAAAGCACTTGTTGGTTAACCATTGTCAACCGATTGTGATTAAAATCGTGATTATAATTGAGTCGGTTTAACAATTGAACAATTGAAAATCTTAATGATTATAAGCCCAAGGACTTTTTATCAATTTCTTTTGATTATTTTCAATTTTCTCTTTTCATAAACAATTAACGTTCCCATGGTTCTAGCAATTAAATTGTTGAGAGCAATTTAATCGAGTTGACTAACTACTTTCAAGTTTCCATTTTCACTGGATCAGATTCATCTAACGTGTAACAATCAACATGGACAATCAACAAGAGCCCAATGAATTACCTGATGTGTCTCAATTAAAATTGGTTGATTTTACAATTAACGATGAGATTCGTGATCGTTGTAGACAAATTTGTGGTGAATATCTTGGTGGCCCTTGGAGTGATTTAAAAGCGGAAGAAACAATCATCGAACCAGTGGAGTAAGTGTTTACATCATCATCATAACAATTAACTAATCAGTTTCAATTGTTTCCAATCAATTTGTATAACAGAGATGGACTCAGTAATCGTATTTACGTTTGTATCAATCTAAAGTTATCACAATCAAAAGAATCAACCTTAAAATCTGATGTTCCAAGTAAAGTTCTGGTTCGATTACATGGAAGTGAATTCGTCGGTGATCAAGGTGACATGATTGTCGTCTCGAAAGATGCTCTTCCATTAATTGGTGAGATTTTACACCAAAAAGGATTAGCAGCCAAAATCTATGGAGTATTTGATGAAGGACGAATTGAACATTTCATCGAGGTAAGTTTCTAATAATATTCCGTTAGTGATCAATGGCTAATTATCTTTATCCTCATAGAGTAATAAATTTCCCCAGGAATCATGGGCTAATCAGCAATTACTTGATTGTCTCACACGAAAGTTGGTTCAAATTCATCAACTCGAAATGCCGATCTCTAAAGACCCCTGGTCTCTGGTGAAATTGGCCGAAAGACTTTACAAATCGGGCAAGGAAACTAATCAATTTTTGAATGTTGACTTATATGAACCTCATTTGAGACCCATGATTCAGGACATGATTGATTTTGATCATGCTGGTTACGCTCAATGGCTTCGGGATATGGAGCCTTTCATCAAATCTCCGTGTGTCTATTGTCATAATGACCTACACTTTGGAAATGTACTTGATAGAACCAACGGTCAGTCGTTTGACGATCGAGCCTTCATTATCGATTATGATAACAGTAGTTATGGATTTCGAGCCTATGATTTAGCTTTGTTTCTCTACTTGAAAAGTTTTATTCCAGGACGAGTTGAAACTTGGTCTTTTCAAACGATCACCACACCGGAAGAAAAACTCCACACCCTCAAGGTCTATTTAGAACATTTGATTAAAGTTCGTAAAGGAGAAATCGATCCTCAAGTTGACACAATTGAACATCTAAAGAGAGAACTCGATTATGGTGAAGTTCTAATTCATTTTATTTGGACTTCGGTTTCGTGTGCGAAGATCAATCCAATGATGGCTTCTGTTTTCGTAAGTTAATTGGAGAAAAGTTAAAGTTTATTGTATCAACAATTAATTCTCAAAATCATCTAATCACTTTTTCAGGCAATTATGATGGACAATGCAAAGGAAATCAAGATACAAGTAAAATTAGCAAAGGAACGATGCGAAAAATATAAACAAAGTTTAACCAACGGAGATCACTAATCTACTAATTAACTGATTATCCAACTGTCACCTGATTGTAAAAGATATTATTCCAATATTATCATAATAAACAATCAAATTTATCATCTTCTACTGTTAACCAACCAATCTGAACAATCAATTGATACACTTACACGATCGTAACTGTATCAATACAATTTATTATTAATAGCAAAAAATTAAGGTTCAAATTTGATTTGGAAACAAAATGCAAAATATAAACATAATCAATCAGCTTCTGTAGATACAATTAAATGTTAATCATTTTGACAGTCTAAATTATTAGCAAGTGATCAAATCTCTCCAGGGTTTATAATAGTAAATATATTAAATCGGAAAGGTTAACACTGTTAAAGCAAATGACAGGTAAACAATTTAACTGTAATAATAAGCAATCAAGACAATCAACAATTTATAAAACAAGGGGCAAACATATTGAATATGATTTGTTGCAAAGTAACTAAATAAGTAAATGTTATTATCATTTTAAGTTGCAAAAGTCACACAGGTAAAAAGTGTAAACGGTCAAGTAAAAAATAATTACAGGTTATGTCCAGTGTTAAGGCCGATCAAGAATAAAGGTAAGAAGAGAAAGAAGAGAAATATCATCATCATCATCATCATCATCAGTATTTTCATCAACAATCAACTAAACAGGCAAATAAACAACAACAATCAATAATCATCATCATAATACAAGAATTAAAGTCGGCAAAAAAAAAATAGCGAAACCATGAAAGTAAAGTGAATCTAAGAAACATAAATATCCATCAAAATGTATTTAGATTGTTGTTAACCTTTGATAGATTATATTTTTAACGTAACGTTTAGTTGTGTGTTCATTGTTATTAAATTGTTGCAATCATGTTAATCAGGTTTGTCTCACAGTATGAGGTAGACAATTGATAATAACAATTATCATGATGAAAAGGCTTGAATAACATTGGTAACAATTGAGTTATTCATTAACTAATCTGTTGTAAAGTATTTATCTTTTATTATTATTACAATTTAACAATAATCAAGGTGAAAAAAAAAGTTCGTAACTTTTTGAAAAAAGTTTTTTTTTTCTTCCACTTTTGTAATCATTTATTTTCTTGCTTCTTTCTGTAATAACAATTAACAAATACAATCAATTTCTGTTGATCATTTGACATTGATTAATAATAATAATTGTAATTTGATTTGGACAAAATTTAGATGGTAATGTTTACAATTATCACCATTAACAACATCATCATCATCATCATCATTATCGGTTGCATTAATTGAATTATCAATTTACAGGTAAATTGATTATGTATTAGTTGATTTTGTTTTTGCCTCTTCAATTAACTGATTGTGTTATTATGTGACTATTATTATTATTATTTGTTGAGGAATTTAAATTATCATAAAAATTTTCTCACAAAAATTGGAAAATGAAACCAGAATCTTGAAAATCACCAAGAATTAGCAATTGATTGAATAATTTGAAGTACAGGTAAATGAAAAATGTTAACAATTTAGTGTTAATATCAACAAAACTAGCGGGCTGATGGTCAAAATTTGAGGGTAACCTTTTTGGACCTCACAGTATCTTTTTACCTGTAATATTATCTATGATACTCTCTCATCATTATCTCAATAACACACCTTGAGCCCTGCGGCAATGACCAGTGACCTCTTGTTACTTTGCTTTTCATCCTTTTCTCCATCATCATCACTCTCATCTTCTCATCTTCATCATCATCTACTTAACTTGTTATCTTAACTGAGCCTGGCGACCTTTTCTTAACCTTACCTGTCAACCTTTTGTTTACCTCATTAATATAACGGGGTTTCCCTTTTTCAATTTACCTTTTATTGTCCCTTTTGTTTATTTTCCTCCTTCCACCAGTATAATGGCTCACATTTTGTTTACAGGTAAATCGTTTCATCAGATAAAACAAATAAACAAACATTTTGAAACAGTAAATAATTGACATGATTATGTTGATAATCAATATTGTTAATCATAATAATGTAGATATGACAAAGTTTATCTGAAAAGTGTCCAGTGGACACTGTCCAGCGATCGCTAAGTAAACACAAACATTTGTCTGGTTATTTTTTACAGACTCAAAAACTTTTCCTTTTCTTTTTCCTTTTATTATTATTATATTTTTTGCTCGATCCTGGACAAACCGAGAAACAAAAACGACTTTTCCTCATCACATTTTATCTCTTCTTCTTCTTCTTCTTCTTCTTCTTGTGTTGACCTTTTGTTTGACCAGAGGTCAGCTGTAGATACACAGATATAAACACATATTACAAACTGTCCACTTGTTCATACAAAACAGTTAATCTTTTCTACTTGACCATGGAAAGAAAGAGAAAATTCAAAACAAAACTGTAACAATTTCAACTTTCAACGATTGGATTTTAGAAAATTATTTGCTTCGAGTCGATTTGTTAGTTGAAAATTGTCCTAATTATTAAAGGACGATAATTAATCTTACCAAAAATTTTTATTTTCATATTGTTTTAGTATTATATCCTTGGTTGGTACATAAAAAAAGTGTTAATATCTTTAGACCGGCTTATAGTCCAATTTTGTTTCGAGTTTCTTATTATCGGATATTTTACGAACGGCTTTCATAAAGTCTTCTTCAATTACGTATTCTCTTTCAGCTCGAATAGCGAAAAGACCTGCTTCAGTACAAATATTTCTCAGATCAGCACCATTGAATCCATCGGACAATTTAACTATAGCTTCCCAATCAATATCACCATGTTTGGCTATTGGACGAGCATGAATTTTCATAATCTCTAATCGACCTTGTTCATTTGGAAGAGGTATTTCAATTTTACGATCCAATCTTCCGGGACGAAGTAAAGCTGGATCCAAGGTATCAGGTCGATTTGTGGCCATAATGATTTTAACTTGGCCTAAGGCATCGAAACCATCCATTTGATTCAATAATTCCATCAATGTTCTTTGAATTTCTCGATCAGCTGAAGTACCTTCACTGAATCTTCTACCACCAATGGCATCAATTTCATCCATGAAAATAACGCAAGGTTGATGATCCCGAGAATAGTTGAACATTTCTCGAATCAACCTAGCACTTTCTCCAATATATTTATCAACAATTGCAGAAGATACAACTTTGAGGAAATTGGCCTCAATTTGTGAAGCTACAGCTCGAGCCAAAAGAGTTTTACCAGTACCAGGAGGTCCATAAAGAAGGCAACCTTTAGGTGGTGTTATACCAACTCTTTCAAAAAGTTCAGGATTTAAAAGAGGCAATTCAATGACTTCTCTCAATTCTCTAATCTGTTCACCCAAACCACCAATACTTGAGTAATTAACATCACCTGGACTTTCATGTGACATATTGTAAACCAAAGGATCAACTTCCCGAGGAAGATATCTCATGATTGTCAAAGTAGTCATATCAAGAGCAACTCTAGTACCAGATTTAAGTTTACTTTTATCAAGCTGTCGACGACAACCAACAACATACCGAGGTCCATTAGTAGCTTTGACAATGACTAAAGCAAAAGAAAAAAAAGAAAAAAATCCAATCAGACAAAATCATCTTATAACAACCATTTTTAACCATTAAGATCATTAAATTGGTTAATCAGAAAATTTATATAAGACAATCATTTCAGATACTAACAATTATCATCAGTCAGCTGCTTCAAGACTTCACCGACAATTTGTCCAACACTTTGAAGGGCTTTCAAATCAGCTTCACTTTTTTGGAATTGCTTGTTGCTCTCTTTTAACTCTTCCCTAACTGTTAAGGACAAAAGAGAATAGAAAAAAACAGTCATTAGTTAACATAATTACAATGACAATGGTAAAAAAATGTAAAAAGAAATAGTTAAAACTCTTACCTTGTTTAAGCCTCGCTTCATAATCTTGGTGTTCTTGCACTTTCTTCCTATACTCAGCAATAATCCTCTCTCTTTGGTCAGGAACCGACACAGGATTCGTTGATGACGCAACAGCAGCAGCCATGACAGTAGAAAATCTAATTAACAATCAATAAGATTTACAGCAATTAATAAATTCACAATTAGAAAAAAACCAAAATAAATGCTGATCAAATCTTGATTGTTAAACAAAAATTGCATTTCATTGAGTTGAACCGGTTGGAGACCCATAGAAACCAGAAAAGGCGCGCGATTTGAATATTATACCAAAAGAAAAAATTAACAAAAAAATTAACGATCCAAATTTAATTATCGAAATATTTTTGTTCACAATGATTGATCGTTATAATTAAACATTGAAAGTTAAATTTCGGGTTGAAATTGTTACAGTTTTGTTTTGAATTTTCTATTTCTTTTCTATGGTCAAGTAGAAAAGATTAACTGTTTTGTATGAACAAGTGGACAGTTTGTAATATGTGTTTATATCTGTGTATCTACAGCTGACCTCTGGTCAAACAAAAGGTCAACACAAGAAGAAGAAGAGATAAAATGTGATGAGGAAAAGTCGTTTTTGTTTCTCGGTTTGTCCAGGATCGAGCAAAAAATATAATAATAATAAAAAGAAAAAGAAAAAGGAAAAGTTTTTGAGTCTGTAAAAAATAACCAGACAAATGTTTGTGTTTACTTAGCGATCGCTGGACAGTGTCCACTGGACACTTTTCAGATAAACTTTATCATATCAAAACGAATGTTTGAAACTTTCAAATTCACCTTTGGTTAATTTAGTGAAAAATCTATGAATTAGAAATAGAGATTAACTCAACTTGAAACTTGATGATCTTAAAAATAATGCTCTTTAAATCCTATTGATTTGTTATTTCTCAAATTCTGGTATAACAACTGAATTAGCTACCTGTCGGATTTTGATTACCTGAAATATAAAAAGTTTACATTTGCTGAATTGATGATCTGATAGGAAATGTAATGAACTTTATAAATGGGTCAATTGTCAATTTGATCTGATTAAATGCTCGATAAGTTATCATTTTACTAGAGAAAATATCATTACAATCAAATTGAATAAATTGATTGTGACAGTTAGAAGATTCTCTGATTTCAGTTGATTGGAGATTATTTGTTGAACAATTTAATCTTCTTATTGTTAATTTCACAGAGATTAACACCAAGGAAGTG